GGTTAGCTACAAATGTATCGCAACGTAATGGAAGAAAAGGATTTCCATTTAATTAGTAATAATAGAGCCATCGTGTTTCACATTTTTAATCCCGCAAGGGATTGCGCTAACAGCTTTTTAATTCGTTTTTCTTAATTTATTATTCAAATTATTATTATCATTGGATTGATTGACAAATAAGTGTTTTTTCATATATATGATATCTACGGCAGATCTTACACACTATCATATATATTAATCAAGTCACAAATAATGATATTCATTATTTTTTAAAATTATAACTTGACCAATTTTCCAAAAAAAACTGTAGAAAATCTAATATCTTTTATTATTGATTGCTAAGATCTGTAATGGAGAGGAGGGAGAAGGAGGGGGAGCCGCGAAAACTTGACCTTAAAACTTACATTCACTATTTTCTTCGAAAATATATGTGAGTTCCACAAAACTTGTGATTATTTCTTGTACTTAAAATGAGTATATAGTTTAAAATAAAGTTTAAAAAACCAATAAAAGTGTCGGGCCGGACCGGGCGGCCCGTTTTGAGCCCTGACGTTTATTCTTCATCATTAACTTTTCTTTAATTGATTGCATGTCTTTGCTACTTATTGTTTTGATTATAGAGTTATCTTCGTCATTTTGTTATAAATGAACCAAAAGAAGGTAATAATAACATATACAACTTAAAACGTACTACTAGTCGAAAGATAACTATTTATATGTGTGGTTAGAATTTATACACATCGTAGAGAAACTATGAATAGATTTAATTTTTTGTGAAATGTTATAGATCACTCCCCATCTATAAAAAGAAAACATTGAATGAATATGAATGAAAACATAATATTGTATACAATTTAACTTACCACAAGCTGCAGCATTAGTTGATATAAGTAAATTAAATACACGTTCACGAAATTGACCAATAACTGCTGCACGTTGCTCAATATCTATAGCTGCTGTTAATTCTCGTACTGAATGCTATTGATTTGCCATGCGATTAGCTAAATTACGTGCTGTTGCTCTTGTTCGACAAAAAAAAAACCATTGCTTGTCCAACTATTACATGAGTATATATTTGTTCAATAGCATAAAACTTTTGTTCAGTTTCATAGCAACATATAAAAAATTGTCTTATATTATTTAATGTTTGTTTTTCACGTTTTAAACTTAAAGCAACTGGATTATTAACAATTTCACGTGCAAATCTCATTACTTCATCAGAATATGTCGCTGAAAATAACATCATTTGACAAGCTGGTTGATCAAGACCTCGTACAAGATCAACACATATTTTTTGAAAACCTTCAGTTGCTATCATAAGATCGGCTTCATCAATAACAAACATACGTAATTTGTTTAGATCAATTTCTCTCATTCTTTTACACCAATTTTCAGCAGTACCAGGCGTACCAATAACAATGAATTGTGTTAAAAGTTGACCACGAACAGCATTCGATGATCGTTGTCCTATTGGATTACGAACGGCATATACAATTTGAATGTATGGTAAAAATTGTGCCATTTTTTTCAATAGCTGAACCAATTTGTAAAGCTAACTTATATGTTGTTGAAAGAATAAGGGCTTGTATTGTTGGAATTGACGGATCCATACGTGACAATATTGCTAAAGAAAAAGCAGCTGTCTTGTCTGCACCAGATTGTGATTGTGCTATTATAGTTTCGTTACGAAAAAAATGCAAAGTGAATTCGATGATCATATTTAGATGATAGATTTAATTTTGTAAGAATTTTGTAAAAATGAATTTCCTGAAATGGCTTGTCGACAGTAGTGCGCGACATTTTCTTGAAAATACTATAACAAAATTAGTAGTTTCTTTATTTAGGAGATGTAAAATTAAATGGAGTCGTATGTAATTCAAAGAAAGTATCAACAATAAATCAAGCAACAGGAGCAATACAAAATACTCCATTGACATTTTCAAAAATCCTATCAGATCCTCCAACACCTTTTTCTCAACAATCAAGTTTACCAAATGTAAAACAAGAAACATTGAATGTTCCAGCTTCATTAGCTGAAAGATAATTATTAGAAAAAAAAAACTTGATACAAAATTACGAGATTCAAATGCATTAGTTGTTGATCGTAGTGATCCAACGTCACCTTTATATTCATTAAAATCATTTAAAGAATTGCAACTAAAACTTGATTTATTAAAAGGTAATTTTATTATGGTAGACATTTCAGATGA